CTTCCCACTTAGAGAAGTTTCCTGGCCCCGGGCAGCCATTTTCGCGCCCTCGGCAAGCGAGGGGAGGGCGTGAAAACGCCGTGCGGGGCCATTTCGGGTCATCCGGCGCCCATTTTGGAGCCGCCAAACGCGGCTCCAAAATGGCCGCCGGACTCCCCAATCGTCGCAATGCGAGTGCGGCGATTGGGTGCTCCGTATAGCGATCCCGAAAAAGGGGATCGCTATACGGATTCGTCGTTATACGGTGCGCTCGCTAAGCGAGGCACCACTGTATGTTGAATTTGCAGTCCTGCAGAGAGACCAAATAAAATATATCTACTATAAAATGAAATAAATAATTGTATGTGGTCTACCAGTTGTAAAGAAATGGAAGTCAACCCCCCCACACACAATAGCTTTAAAAATTCTAAAGAAGTAACATGTTAGTGCTTGTGAGTATATTAGACAAAAGCAAACAAAATGAAACAAAGAAACCCCCAATATGAGACAAAAATGTTGTGGCATCTTAAAAACTGTTATATTTTAATGTGAGCTTTCATGGATCAAGTCCAGTTCCTTAGACATTAAAGTGAAATTATACGAATGGCATATTTAAACAAATCTGCCACTCATAAGGTGACAATGGTCAGTTAGTACAGGAATAGCATTAACAAGCTGTAAATAATCCAATTAGTAGTCACCAGATGTTGCATTGTACAGTACTCTGCTTACATAGGCTAACATGTCACTTTGTCCAGCATCAGTATTCTCACCTAGACATGGGGCTATATATAAATGTGTCAGTCATATTGTGTAACTCAAATGTCTGAGGAAGTGGGTTTGAACAAAAGCTCACGCTAAAATATAAGTCTTTAAAGTGCCACAACAAACTGTTTCTTTTGGTATGATATGTTTAAAAATTCTGAAATAGCTTCTGACGTGCATAACACTATTTGCCTAATTGCTCTTAACTGATTTATTCAAAATGAATAAATGGCTTGGCATTTTAAAGGCTAAAAGAGTTTATGCTCACCTTTACAATAGATTCTGAACAAATAGTAAGGACTTGATGAAAGACTTTATTGTAAACCAGTACGTTGATGCTCCTCTCATGTGTTTGAGGTACCTGTTTTGTGTCTTGTATCATACGTGTTAGTGGATAAATGTCAATAACAGTTGATCCTGTGCATCATACAATATAGACAGTTGCAATTACATTGTTTATCAATATGCATGCCATCAACATTTCTGAAAATAGGTAAAATCTTCATTGCAAAAAGATTATAATACTTTGTATACCAATACATAACACTGATCGAATTATTTAAAAACATAATTTTATGTGTATAAAATTAAACTATTGCTACAGTATTTGTTCCAGTGCTGAAGAAGCAGGGGACTACTGCTCTACCTCTGCCTACCTAAAATAAGCAGTTTGCATGGCAGTATTAAAGATCAAACTGGAATGCAGGCTGATCAAGATACAGAACGAGAGTACAGTATCTTGAAGGACACTTCCTTGATAGAGGATTTGTAAGATATATTAGGCAGTGCATCGAAGATTCACAGATCACATGCCAGCTCCACTGATTCCAATTACTACTAAGAGATCATGGAATAAGCACAGTTGGCACGAGTGACGCACTAAGAAAATGTAGACTTGTCAAATGCAAACAACCTACTCTCATAGGCATCCTTCAGTCTCGAGAGACTATGGTGACATGCTCTGAATCGAGGAGTGTCCTCTCCAGAGCATGAAGCCCAGGTAAGGTAATATGGAGGATAGGCTGTTACCCAAGCAGCAGATCCCCCCTCTCCACATTGCTGAAATGGTCCAATGGAAAGGCAAGAGCCAATACAACTGGTTCCAGCAACATCGCAGGAGTTGGCAGAACAAAACAAACTGCCTTCGGGACCCCAGCTCCGGATTTTGCCTCGAGGTTAACTCCTGAAGCTTTTCCATGAGTGGATATAGCCACAAGGCAGTGGAGGTTTGAAATCGGAGTTTTCCTTCTCCTAGATGGACTGCCTTCCATGGCTGACGAGCCCCACCTACCCAGAAACAACCTACTACTTTGTGTTTTTTAATCAATTAAAGAAAAATTAAAAATTAAAAAATTAAATTAAAAATGAAAACTCAGTAGTGACTACACACAATACAAATTGAACATTCCCCACCTGTGCCACCTTCACCTTTGGGACTAGGTGACCCAGTAATATCAGTTTATACCCCCTTTCACCCCATACCTTTCAAAAACGCATTGATTCTTTTCCTGGCATATAGCCTTTCCCTTTAAAAAGACATACTCCAAGTATACATTCCATACATCTTTGAAATCATTAGACTTTACCATTCCTCTTCTTATTTTTATTTCATGTCAACTTATCATTAATTGCTATGCTCCACATTTCTTTATACTATTCAAGACTGATTTGTTTGTCACTTTTCCAATTCTTTGCAGATATTAATCTTGCTACTGTAACCATTATACCAACTAAGTCTTTCTGATCTTTTTTTCAAATGGTAATCCTTAATTATGTTCAGGAGGGCAATCAACAACCTACTACTTTGATGTTCCTGTTCAGCACTCTGAGTTAGCATTAAACTGAGCAAACAAATGATGTGGGAAACTTTCTGAATGCATCCAGAGTGCTTATGATGCCGGCTAACAATGAAGCTGAAATGCTCATCTTCTTTGACGTTATTTGTTTATGGTGATTAACAGGTACCAACCCAGACTAAAACTAGAAACTTCCTTGTGCAAATGGATGTTAGGTACCTTGAGGTGATTAATTCTCTGGTTGAACCTGAATTGCTCATATTCCCCAAGAGGGAGAAAGAACGACTTTTTCTATTTTACAAATTGCAATTCATGGTCACTGTTCAAGGATCTTAGTGCTGAACAGAAAAAGAACATGACATGGAAATAAATGAGAAAAATTCTGATGTGCAGATGGGACAACAGGGACAGAGTTTTGAACAATCATTTTCACAGAGAACTTTTAGAAAATCTGGCACCCAGATTAAAAATGTTTTATACAGGTTTCAGCTGCTTCAACTGAATTATTTCCATACAGCTGCATATAGAAGTACAGCCCAAATAAATAAGGTATAAATAAAACAGTATGTAGATATGGTTTTGGCAATATGTGTCTTAAGAACGTATACCAGTGAAACACTGAAAAGCTGCAAGATTGTATGCAATCTGAAGAAGACATACTGAACACATATCCACGTCATGATAAACCGTGATTTGGGTTAACTATGTTTTGCTGCTAAAGCCATAAAGTAGTAGACGATCCAACAAATTGTTAGTCATTTTACCAACTTCTAGTTTGTTTCTCTGCAACCCATTTTGTCAGGTCATATTTCAAAACAACCAGCTGTGGAAACAAGCTATGGACAAGCCATGTTTTTGGATCCAGTGTCACAACAAGCTTTGAAAGCTAGGCTAAGCTCACCAGAGTTAAATCCTTTACCTTGGCCAAAACAGACAGTAAGTGGCTCTGCATTAGTGTACAATATATGCCTTCCCTGAGAAGTAGAGAGGGCATATGATATAAATTTTGTTCCTGATGTACAATGAAGACCATTGTAGTTAATTAATGGTGGATAAATATTAACTGTTAATTAATTCTCCCCTCTCATGTGCCAGAAGGATATATGTCAGGGGAACTGTCAGAAAAAATATACTTGTTTTGATTTCTCAGCAGATATTCTCATGGAGCAAAACTGATTTGTCTTACACATTAAGAGGCAATCACCAAGTGCATTTTTAAACATTAACTGAAGGGGTGAGGAACTTGTGGCCCAAATGTTAGGCTGCAACTCCCATCAATGCTAGCTAGCAAAGCCAATAATAAGGGATCATGGAAGCCATAGTCCAGCAATATCTGAAGGGCTACAGGTTGTGCACCCCTGCTTTAGCGGGCATTCCATCCAATTACAGCCTGATAGAAGACAGCAGTGACTTGCTGCCTCATTACTATAGATTCTTTCATCTCAGTTTTTACCTTAGGCTTGAACTACACATTTGCAATAATAAGCTGCAAAGGTATTTGCTATGGGTTTTTTGCAAATAGCCATGAACCTGCTTGCAACATATTTCCTGTTTTCATATTTTTTTTCTTCTTCTTGCAGGAAAGCAACTAACTCCTTGATCATGTGGGGAGGGATGCCAGGGTACCAGCACCAGGGTCAGGGCAGCATCTGAGAGTCTGGCACTCTCCCACTCAACCTGCTGCAAAACAGCCTCTGGAACTGTCTCCTCAAATAATAACAATCTCAATGTTGTTATTATTTGATAATACCTTGTTTCCCCGAAAATAAGACAGGGTCTTATATTACTTTTTGCTCCAAAAAATGCATTAGGGCTTATTTTCAGGGGATGCTTTAGTTTTTTCATGTACAATCTACGTTTATTCAAATATAGTCATGTCATCTTCTTCTGGTTGCTTCACAATGGTGGAGGGCGAGGTTTCACTTAACTAGGGCTTATTTTTGGGGTAGGGCTTATATTACGAGCATCCTGAAAAATCATACTAGGGCTTATTTTCAGGTTAGGTCTTATTATCAGGGAAACAGGGTAGTAACAACATGCACCATCCATTACACCATCCCTGTGCAATGGATGGCGAAATGGATGGTGCAATGAATGGTGAGTATAGCAGATTGATAAATGACTGAACAGGTGGTAGCCTATAGTTGAGAGGCTTCCTGAATATCTCTGTCGTAACCTCTGACTTGGCATCACCTTACCCTGCCATAGAGCTAGTCAAGCCCTACGACGGGGTTTAAAAAGTGTGGATTGGGAGCCATTTTTAAATCATAGTAGGGCTTGTGTAATGTGTAGCAACAGGAGACACTACAAATTTTAGCTGTTTTTTCCCCTGGAGCATGTAGTTTCAACCTGAGTTCTAGGGAAAAAACCTTATTACAGTACAGTATTAATAAGCATTTCTTGAAGACAAAATACTTGAGATTGCTGTGTCTCAGGATTGCCAGAATTAGAAGATTGGATCACTATACCTTTTTCCAGTTGTGTGTTTCTCCTCCTCAATTTTCTGTGAGTCATCTTGGTCTAGAGAAGGAACTCCACTGGCAGATCATGCATTTATTTTCTACAGATATGTATCAGCATTTCGGTTATATTTTCAGAGAACATTTATTTCTCAAAGACTAATTAGCCAACTATACCTGCAATCAGTGTGCCATGATTATTGTCAAATATCATAGCAAAGATTGGTGTTTCTCTGGGGCCCCCTTGGGAGTCGTGGAAGACTTGCAGTACTGAAAGGGTCTGGATATCCCAAACTCTGAAAATCTGAAAGGGAGAGAGTGAAAAAAAAGAAGAAGAAAAAAGAGTTGTGAAGATACGTGTTCTTTATGTCTAATTATTCTATTGGCAGAGAAGAAAAGCATGTAAATTGCCGTTCCACTTTTCAGTTGTATTTTTTAAAAATGCAATAAAAAATTCAAACTAGTTTTGTAACCAGAGCTTGCTGACCCCCTGTTGCTTTTTACCTTTTGATTTCCAGTCTCAATTTAATGTCCATTTCACTACTATAACCACTATTATCTCTTGAGCATACCTAATTCCATCTGATTTTGGAAGCTAATCAGCATCAAGCCTAGTTAGGACTTGGATGCCAGACAACAAGGAAATATGAAATATCTCCAAGTCAAGCTGGATAAAAAAATCCGGCATGAAACTATTGGGAAAGGTTGTTTGGAATATTGTTTGTTTGTTTGTTTGTTTGTTTGTTTGTTTGTTTGTTTGTTTGTTTGTTTGTTTGTTTGTTTGTTTGTTTGTTTGTTTATTTATTTATTTATTTATTTATTTATTTATTTATTTATTTATTTGCTGCCTGTCCTAAAGCAGGGGTCCCCAACCCATGGTCCGCCGCCCGGTGCTGGTCCGTGGACTTCCTGGAACTAGGCCGTGGAGACGGATCTCCGCATGGTGGGTGTGTTGCACTCGTGGAGAGGATTGTTGCACTTGCGAAGGGGCATGTTGTGCTCGTTGAGGGATGTGTTGTGCTCGTGTGCATTCATGCGAGACCAACACGCCCCTCCTCAAGCATGACACGCCCCTCCACGAGTGCAACATGCCCCTTCGCAAGTGCGACACGCCCCTCCATGAGCGCAACATGCCTGCTGGCAAGTGCGACACACCACCCTGTGAGCGTGGGGGTGCCCCCACATGGAGCTTGCACACCCCAAAATAACAGAAAAGGAAAAACCAGAGATCTGTTCAGGAAAATTGGATATATTAGAGGAACATTTTGTGCAAAGATGGACATGATAAAGGACAAAAATGGAAGGGATCTAACAGAAGCAGAAGACATCAAGAAGAGGTGGCAAGAGTACACAGAGGAATTATATCAGAAAGATTTGGATATCCCGGACAACCCAGAGAATATAGTTGCTGACCTTGAGCCAGACATCCTGGAGAGCGAAGTCAAGTGGGCCTTAGAAAGCCTGGCTAACAACAAGGCCAGTGGAGGTGATGGCATTCCAGTTGAACTATTTAAAATCTTAAAAGATGATGCTGTGAAGGTGCTGCACTCAATATACCAGCAAGTTTGGAAAACTCAACAGTGGCCAGAGGATTGGAAAAGATCAGTCTACATCCCAATCCCAAAGAAAGGCAGTGCCAAAGAATGCTCCAACTACC